AAAGACATTTTTGGTCTTTGCATAGGTCCCGGAGAGTAATCCCTAAACTACTGGAGTATTCTGCCAAGGGATCTTTGATGAGAATGACTTTGGTTAACCAGGAGCCACAAACCATGACCGTTTATGCCAGCAATGTGATTTATGGCAGGACCTAGAGCTAGTTGGACCTCTGAAGGGAATAGAAAGACAATTTTTGACTCATGGGGAGCCAGCCAGGCCGACACAACTAAATTCTACAGTTAGCTCCCATGGTTGCCAATTCTCTGCATGTGTTTTCACAGATTATTTTTGGGAAAATTAAGCACTGGATGTAGCCCCATTAGAGGAAAAACACCTGAAACCTGGGGCCTGATGTCTCTTTGATGCAGCCCTATGTTGAGTTTTTCTTTGTTGATTTCAGTATATACCCTTCATGGTAGTAAACTCTAACAATAATGAGAGCATTTTACTAAAATTTTTAATTTTCTGCTAACAAATCAGTTAATCTGAGGATGGTTTTGTGGATAACCCCCAAAGAAACAGGAATTTAATCACAATGTAACAAAGTAGGGCCTGAAATCAAAGTAAAATGTTATTTCAACAAATGCTAAAGCATATATCATAAAGATATATAAAAATACAAGTAGATGTGTGCACATATCTATGTGTATTCAATAAGCTCTGTGAAATTTACGAACAATTTCCTAATGTATTTTTATTGATAAAAATAAATTTTAAACATCATCACAGGAAGTTCATGAGAATCTTGTTTGTGTCTTGTGAATACATCTTAATGCATTTTACCAAAAAATACTTTTCTTATCAAAATTTTAGTTAGAGAGTCAGAGTACAAATCGGGGAGAATAAGGAAGAAAGCCTCAACCTGTGAGCCTCCCAGAGCAAGGGCTGGGGAGAGAAGAACAACACTCAGACTGTCCCCCTCAGCGTAGCTCCACCCCCATGAACAACCAGCTGATTTGGAGGAACTGCATTGTTTGGTTGACTTTGGAGACCTAATGCTATGCAACTATATAGAGGACAACAATATGCAATATAGTAACTACTGTAGATTTCCTACTGTCTTGTTACTGTTTCAATTTGTTTCATTGCTGTTGTATCCCCTTTAAAATTAAAAAAAACAAACAAACAAACAAAAAAAAAAAAAACAAAGGAACATCACAAAAGTCCCCACAAATATTGACCTTAAAAGACAGTATAAGGAAAACTTTATGCCAATGTCTAAATAATTTGCATGAAATGGACAAATTCCTTTAAAGATAACAACTGCAAAGTTCATTCAAATAAAGTATCTTGAAAATTCATGCATTGAAGAAAATTTAATTCACAGTTGTTTCTCATAATAGTTTATGAGTAGTCCATGTTTTAAATTAAGCCTTAGTTGACAACATGATTAATCATTCAGTTACAAAAGGAGATACAGCATAGCACTGTAAATAATACATTCAATTCAGTCAATAAAAGAACTACTTAAATAATCAAGCATGATATATATATATATATATATATATATATATATATATATATATAAAGTATTTTTATCTTAATTTGGGGAGGCTGAAAGTTAATAATAGTGTATACATTCACTTGATGTGCTTTAGATTATGCTTCATTATTTAAGTGTTATATCTTCTTTTGTACACCACACTGTTATGATATTATAAGGATAATAATAGTCCTCCATTACTTTTCTTAACAGAGACTCTTTTGGCATCTCACTTAATGTACTACCTGGTAAAATAATGCACTTTCAGATATTTCTATGTAATTGCATGTAAGTTGGTATTTTCCCAAAGGAAAAACTGATATTTATTTTTGCTGATACTGTGTTAGATTCTTTTGCAATACTAAGAGAAGGAATTTTTATTTTCTTCAATTACTCGAATTATCACCCTTAAGACATTTTTAGCAGTTGTGTATGATTATGAAAGTGCTCTTAAGTGACAAGCTTGAATGGAAGCACTCTGTCATTCTAAAATTATGGGTAAAAGTACATACAATAATTTATTATTAGTTTTTAGTAGATAGTTTTAAGTTATAAAATTTAACAATAACAAAAAATGCAATCCAAAAGGAAAAATGACCAGAAACTTACACAGGTAGCTAACTCTTAATCAATCGGATTTCTAATAAAAGCACTCAGCTTGTGTGTGTATGTGTGCACATGATATTATAGATATTTATAGTCCATGAAGAGTTTCTCTACTGAGAGGTTATAAGTTCATGGACTTTTAAAATATTTTCTGTTCTATCATTTCTTCCTACAATGTGCCTTTTCCTACAATTATATGATAATAACATGATATAATTGAAACCAATTTCCTCCTGTTTTCTTCTCTCCTGTTTATAAAGGTGATATTATTCTCACAGTGATATGCCCCTCACTGCCCAGCTTCAAGAGAAAACTAGACTGCACCTTTGAGACAAATTTTCAAACTTTAGTAACCAAGTAGTTCAATATATATTACGTGCCCTGGTCCTCACCAATAAAATGTTAGGTATTGTTCACTAAACACTATTAAGTATGTACAGTAATGTATCCACTAATTTGCTCACTTTACTCAGTTCATAATTTATGCATATTTCAGTGTACATTATACATATGATTTTGTCAGATAAAATATTTACAAGTGAATTATTGACAATATTTAATTTATTGGGCAAGTTATGGATATATTGGAATCTATAATTTTTGATAATTAATTGAGTAATATATTATTATGATTTAATCACATTTATATAAATAAATTATGTTCTGTATAAATTGTTCTTTTAAGGTTTCTTCTACTAATCAAATTTCACTGCCAACTCAGCTGTACTTAACTGTCCACGGAGTGCAGGAGCATAATGAGAATTTGGGTTGGATATATAATACTAGAATGTTGAACCTATGATCACTTGGGGAAAACTGGCCCCCAAGGAAAGAGTAAAGATCCTACTAAGCTCTAAGGAATGGGTATCAAATGGGATTGTGGGTGGAGTATTGCCAGATAAGAAATTCTGAATTTTGAGCTTAAGTTCATACTTCTTAAGGTTGAAAACTAATTATGTGCTTTTGGTATTTTGTTTTGAACAGGGTCTCGCTATATAACTTACATTGTCCTTGAACTCACTACGTAGCCTAGGCTAGCTTCAAACTCATGATATTCCTCCTACCTCAGCCTCTGAAGACTGTTATAGGACTACAACACCATACCAAAGTTTGAAAGCACTGAAAGCCGATCTTGTAAACATGTCTTTGATCAAAGAGGCATCCAGAGGGATCACCTCTCTAAGTTCAACATTGTACTCCATCTGAAACCAATTAAAACACTTGCGTTTGTAGTGCTGCTATGTCTAGCACTGGGAAACACCATGATCAAAATTAAGTATAACTTTCCAACCCATTCCATTCCTGTTATTGTAAACTTCCTGAAAGCATATGTACAGGTTTGGGGTTTGGCTTTATTTTGTTTTGTGGTGCCAGACATCTAAATGAGGGCCTTGCCCATATTAGATAAGCCCACTACCACTGAGTTATAGCTCCAGCCCATGTCCATGAATTTTATACAACTTTAAAGGTGCGATCACAAACTATGGTGACTATTGAAATTACAAAAATTTATTGTAGTAAAGGTACATTGCCATTACTCTCCCTTAGAACACACAACCCATTCTCTGTCTCTCTGTCTCTGTCTCTCTGTCTCTCTGTCTCTCTGTCTCTCTCTGTCTCTCTGTCTCTGTCTCTGTCTCTCTCTCTCTCTCTCTCTCTCTCTCTCTCTGTTTCTCTCACTCTCTCTCTCTGTTTCTCTCTCTGCTTTCTAACGCAGCTCCAGAAGTCCTCCTGTTTCAGCATCTTTAACTGTACTGTCCTGGCTGCCTTGGATTCAAAACATTTATCCTTCAAGGTCATTGTGACTTTGAGAAATAGCCAGATTTCGTGCTGTGTCAGTCACATCTGGTGAGCAGAGCGGATACGGGCAGCCCATCACCTCCTCACCAGGCTGTCTTTCCCTGATATTTCTCCACTGCAGCAACTGTCTTTCTTCTGTTTTCACACTGCAGTAAAGACCCTCAGGAAAGTGGACTTACAGAACTGTTTCAGAAAGTAGCAAGGATGATAGGTGAAGTGGGTTCTTAAGAGAAGAGGGGTATTTTGAGGTAGATTAATAACAATCATGTGTTTTACAAATTTTTAAAATTTAAGCACACAGTATCATTCTTAATCAGTCCTGTATTATCCCCAATTTATTGATGAAAAATGAAAAGCCAAGGCTGGCACGTAACCTTATCTTAAAATCACAACAGAGGGACCTGAATTCAATGTTTTTAGTTCAAATCTTTGCTCTACCACTTTTTTTTTTGTAATCACCTTGCAAAGGTAAATGAACCTTTTATACTGCTTTCCTGTACAATGGGTCACTTTTCCTATAAAATGGGTCACTAATATCACACATGAGATTAATATGAAGACTTAGATATGCATTATATTTGTTTTTAGTACTAGTCTATGTAAAGGGCTTAGAATTGTGCCTTTTATGTAGGTAATGAGGCTTTGGTGATAATTATGCATCTCATTTATATTTTTAAGTACAACAACCTAACCATGCAAATTACACCCTTTAGTACATATGTGCTTATTAATACCAAATATAAGTATTTTTCCAGCTGCTAAGCTGTTTTATTGAAGTAAACTGTTTCCCTTAGATGTTAAAAAATACATAGATATATAGTTGCATGGTTATTACAATGTTCACACTGTTTGAAAATGTGTAGCAAAACCAATCACACACCATGTAAGGATTGTCTTAGACTATAATGTCATAAGATTTCCTTCAATGTGTCAGGAATAACTACAACTTTCAAAAGACACTGTAGATAATCTTTTTCATTTTCTTCTGTTTCTGCAAACTTTAAGAAACTTGAACTCCAAAGAAATATTCAAAAAACATATATGCAATTCAATAATTCACATTAAAAATTTGTACACTAAAATATAAAATATAATGATGACTTTTACTTACTTGTGACCCATTTCATGAGCAATTGTAAATGCAAGATTGAGGCCATTGTCTTCAGCAATAATACATTTTCTCTTCTCACTACACATTCCATTCAAGTAAGCTATACCTAAAACACACCAACATTAATCATCAAATGTCTGATTGAAATGGAAAATAATTATACTATGTATTAGTAGTAAGAAGGGCAATGAAAGTGGTTTCCACTGAAATGTATCAATATTAAGCTGTAAAGCTAGCTTTTATAAAATGAATTCTAAAGGAAAATTGATATATGTATCAATAAATTAATAAACTGTAAAGTTCTTTCACTTTCATGTTTTAGGTGAAATTATTTTTACCTATTTATCCAATTCTCCAAGTGTAAACTTAAATAATATAACATAAATATTACTTCTTAATTGCTACACAAGATAAATGGATAGTCACAACTCAAAAAATGTAAATAAAAAACCAATGATTGTGCTAATGTTTTTTGTTTCTTGTGGAGAATTTAATTTCAATGAAACAAGAAACCTAAAATAATCTATATATCTTTTTAATCGGTTCATCAGTTGCTGGGTATTTGGGCTGTTTCCAAGATGTAGCTATTACAAACCATGCTGCTATAAAAATGGTGTGCATATATTGCTGTAGCATGATGTTTTTTAATTCTTTCAGAAAGATACCAAGAAGAGGAATAGCTGGGTCAAAGGCAACTGCTAGTCCTGGTTTTTTGAGGAATCGCTACACTGATTTTCACAGTGGTTGTACCAGTCTAGACTCCCACCAACAGTAGAGAAGGGTTCCTTTCTCCACACAGCCCTGCCAGCGTTTGTTATTGGTTGATTTGGGGTTTTTTTTTGTGGTGCCAGGCATTGGATTCACAATCTTGCACTTGGTGCTTATGCCACCAGGCTTTGATTTCTTGATAACATTTATCTTTCTGGAATGAGATGGAATCAGCATTGTTTTAATTTGCATCTCTCGAATGATCAGTGATGTTAAATATTTTTCTAGCTATTTATTTGCCACGTGTACCTTTTATCTGAGAAGTATATATTCATTTCAAATGGCCATATTTAGATTGGGTCTTTAAATTTGAGGACTTGAATTTATTTTTTTATATAATCTAAATATTAATCCTTTGAGGAACAGCTGGCAAAATTTTTTTTCCCATACTATGAGTTGTCTCTTTATTCTGTTGGTGATTGCTTTTGCTTTGGAGTACTATTCAGTCATTAAAAACATGAACGTGAGACATTTCTAGGTAACCCTGAGCCTATACTTTTTTTTGAGGGGAGTACCAGAGATTGAACTCACAACCTCATGCTTGCCAAGCAGGCACTTATGCCTCTGAGCTAAATCCTCAGACCCAAGACTACACTCTTAAGTGAAATCAATTGGACATGTGTATGCACCACATTTTTTCTTGGTGTAAGAAAACAAAAGTGTAAATAAGGATCACATGTATAACAGATATTGTGAAATAGAAATAAAATATTCAAATGAGAAAGAGAACTAGGGAAAAGTGAGAGGAGAAGAAAGGAAGGGAAAAGAAATAAACAAGAGACAAAGGGAAAAAAATAAACCAAAACTTTTGTAAATATGAAGAGAAGAGGGGTTTGAACACAGAGAAGAACATGGTAAAAAAAAAGAAGAAGAAGAAGAAGCAAGACATATGATATTCAGGTACAAATTCCCTATGATGAATGCGATCATTATGTATATCTAAAGTGTACCAATAATTTAATTAACTTAAAATAAAAATTATCTACATATATCACAACCTTGAACTTACATTAAATTTGGCATGAATAAAATTGTGAATTTTATTTAATGAAATACTATTTTAAATAAGAAAATGAAAAAACTTTCTATCTTTGTGTAACTGAAAAGGTTTATTTTGAAAATATTTCACTTGACAAGATAATCTGCTGGGAGAGTCATATGGTAGTGAGATATTTTTTAAGATAAAATTTTCAGCAAGACACTTGGTTTAACTTCTCAGAGGCAAAAGCAGCTCCTATTAGTAGGGTATTAAAATTTTTTTGAGCATTAGAAAATAAAAAGCAATGACCTGAGATCAAAAGTCTCCTCATAATACTACAGTTTTGCTATAATTAGCATGTCGATGGCCCTTATTTAGTACAAAGTTTCCTGTAAGATTCCCATATGTTTTGGCTCATTTTTCACCATAGCTAAAACCATTGCAGTGTCCAGATTAGAAATAGTTATTTACTCATGGGTCACTACCTACCAAAGGCAACCTCTTTAATATGCTCACATTTCTTCCATTCTCAAAATATGCTCTCATTCTTCACATTTCTCAAAATATCCTATTTGCCTCATTTAAAAATAGTATTGCTACTTGCTCTCACTCTCTGTGTCTCTCTGTCTCTGTCTCTGTCTCTGTCTCTCTCCTATTTCAATACTGGGGATCAAATTAGTTTTCTGCATTATTACATCTCCGGCTCCCCTGCTCCAGCTGGGTTTGAATTTATGATCCTTCTGTTTTAGCTTTACAGAGTTCTGGGATTACAGACATACATTACCACTCCCTATACTCTATTATTTCTTCTATCTATTTCTAGTCTTGTTGCCCTGGTTAGAATTTCCAACACGGTACTGACATACGAGAGGTACTGAGGTCATTATTTTTACTTTTGACTTAAACAGGAATGATCACAGCTTCACGCTTGCATATAGTATTTGCTTAATACTTTCATTGCTATAGCTTATTAACTTTAATTAACTTTCCAATATCACTGCATATCTAAAGAAAAAAGGTGACATAGGTCTAAGATGAATGGGATATGGTTTTTAAGAAAATAATTAAGTGGCTGAAATAGCCACAGAGGGAATCAGCAAGAGATCTAAGTATTAGAGTATTACTTAATGTAAATGAGTCAGAAAAAATTGTTGGTTCAGCTGAGGATAGAGACCATGTTGTTTGGTGGGTCACTAAAATACCCAGTTGAGTGACATCCAGTCCACGGGGTGCAGTAAAGTCAAGGGTAACTGGATGCATTTGGGGTTGAAGTTTTGTACATCAGGTTTGAAGAAAGAAACACAGAATAAAAGTTGAGAGTAAAAAGAGAGAGAGAACATATAGGATTCCATGGGGAATAAAGAAGTAAGGGGGGAAAGCCCCATAATCTGGAGACCAGAATACAGCAGTAGGGTAAATGGTTTCCATTGATGAGGAAACCTATGTACACACTTTACCAAAAAAGCACTAATACTAATGATCCAAGTGGGGTTATGGACATGATTTTAGAGAAATTCTGTGACAAGGTTAGGAATTGTCATTAGAGGAAAGGAAGAGCAGAGGTACAGCTCAGTTAGACGGAGGTCAAATTGTTGACTTCTCTTGGGTAGATGGATTATGTGAGCAAGATACTGCGCCTGAGGAGAATGAAACGGGAAAGCGAGAAAGACGGTCAAAATCCACAGGAAATGTGGCCAAGAATCAACACTGATCGATCACAGCTGTAGAACAGAGATGTTTGTGCACGTCAGCTTCCAAGGAAATGCTAACGTCCAAGGTGGAAGAAATTTTGGACTCAGAAACGTGGAGGCAGTAAAATGTGACAAGTACAGTGCTGATTTTATCTGTACCAGCACCGCGGTCCAGGGGAAGGGAAAGGATGAACAATGAGCTCTCTGGAATTGCACAATGCTATAACTACCAAATTATTAAAAAAAAATGATTATTGTGTGGTTATGTAAAAAACATAATAACAAATATTATGATTTAAACAAAAATATCTCATACTATAAAATATAAGTACATATATAATAATATAAAATATTTTAAAGCAATAGTTGCATATTTACAGATTCAACTACAGCTACATATTTAAAAACCATACCACCGCATATTCATAAGAGAAACAATGACAGAATATGTGATAATTTCTAACACAAATTATATTAGGTAATAAAATTTTGGGTGAATGTTCTTCCTCTTGGCATCTTCCAGATTCACACAAGTGTATTTAATAGTTTTAAAATGAGAAAACTAAAAACTTTATAAACATGGTAACCATATCTATGAGATTTATTAGTAACTAATAGGACCTCATAATCGGGGTGTGGTTTAAAAATGTTTCAACTCCTATTTTTCTTTCACTTAAGTATAAAGGCAATCTTCAACAAAGCCTCTGATAAATCTGAATTTCCTTGTTCTTACTTTTGGCAGATCAAGGAGTTTTTCTCTGCCTTGAAGGTTATAGAGACTAATTGTAACCATGACTAATTTAAATGACTTGCATTATTCTGCTTAAAAGCCCAGGCCTTTCAGGTCTTTTCAAAAACTCACATGTTTCTTATTTTAATAAGGGCCAGGGCTTAAAGGGGGAAAGGATTTAACACAGCTGTTGTTAAAGATAGATGTAATACAGACCATTTCAAAGCAGTCTTAATATAAAGAATTCTTGAAACATAAAGCAAACAAAAACAGTTTTATAACTTTTCATCTAAATTGATACAAGTCATGCACCAGGATTCAATAGAATCTTTCTTCTGAAAACAAAAGATACTACTCTCGAGTATGATCAAGAACATCAGAAGCTCCTAAAGCTCATTTCTCCATAATGAACTAATGTGTAAACGGACCATGTCTACACAGATTGGAACTTCCTAAAAAAGTAAATCACTGGAGCAGTCCTGGAAATGTTGCTTTTAACTATCTGCTAACCAGCCTATGTTCAGAACCACAGCTGTCTAGGGCAACTCCTGCTACAACCATAGGTAAGCTACTTAGTCTCTCACTGCATCTTAGGATATGAGTTATTGACCTTTGAGGTCTCTGGGGACAAAAATCGTAATATGTGACTAGTATTTAAAGAACAGTGATGTTGAGGATACCTTTAGGAGTTTAGCTGACACAAACACACATTTTACAGTGAGATCGAGGCATAAAGACTTACATAGAATATTATGGGAGAATGGGAAAAAAGGACAGAAAAATCACAGCAGAAAAGGCCTTCAGAGAGAGAAACACTGTGTTGTCAGGGGTTAGACAAGTGAAGAGCAGGGCACGAGATGTGGGAGATCCTGAGCATATGAATGAGCATGAGGAAGAGAAAGGAAACACTGACAAGCACAAATGCTCCTCCCAGAGGT